GGTATAGTTATAACATTATTGATAAACTTAATCTACACGAACCTTAATGAACTAAAAAGGTTTCATTTGAAAATGTGCATTTCCTTTTGTTCTTCTCTCTTCTTCTGCTTGTTTTACTTTGTTTCTAAATTGTATTACTATGTCTGTAGGAAATTATTCAATGGTGAATGTTTTGACACATTTAACTAAAGAGAGAAATGAAGCTCTCAAATGCATAAAAAGAAATAAATATTCCATCACTGGGAAAACAAAAATTACTCTTAAAGGATGTCACATACATTTAAAGATGAGTTCATACAATTTTTGTTATTAATTTAATGTTATTTGTTCTATTATTTTGATGTCTGCCTATCCATAGATAACAGAAACATGAACTTTCTCCACATAAATATATCTGAAGATCACAAATGCAGGTAAAAGATGCAAAATAAATGAAATTTCAAGAGTTAGAAAGGCTTATGTAACCATAAATGTGGAGGAGTTGTTAAAATGGACAAGACTGTACAATGTAGGGTCATATCCCACATGTGTGAATGAAGGGATATAGAAAAAGAACTTCTTTTTTTTTAAAAGAGAATTATCAGCAGCACGCATGGCCACCATTTCTGTCCAAAGCAATAAGAAAAAGCTTACTAAACTCTGTGTTATTTATAGAAGCTGAAAGAATATTGTGCCATTTTTATAAATAATTTTCCTTTTTATCTAATTTACACTGCTAAGAAAAACTTGGGTGGTATTTTATCTTTTTCAGAAGTCAGGAATATCACACAAACATTCCTTAGTTGGAAACAGTCACTGGTGTATTGTTTCTGTGATGTCTGAGGCAGGATTTCCTATTATGTCTTGTGATTTTAATAACCAATTTTCAAGCAAGGTATAATAACAGTGTTCCATGGGGCATATAGCATAACTGAAATGTTCATCTCTATATTGTTTTAAATAAGGACTTCTGTGCCAGCATCTTGTAATTTTTTCTATCACTGATCTAATGAGATATTACTTCTCCTCATGTCTTTTCATTTAGTGTCTAGCTAGTGTCTTTGTGCAGCAGTGTCATAGGCCAGAACTGAATACATTGTGGCCAGAAGCATATATGTAGATGTCGATGCTGAAGCTTAAACCTTTTTCTAACACTGTCAAATATATTGGCATCTGACTGTCTCAGTTCATTTTCTGAGAAAATGTAAACGTTTTAGCCCTCCTGGCAGGGAATTTCAGCGTACATAATAGAAGAGAGAGACAATAATGCACAGTGCTCCTCTGGTGGCTAACAGAAGTAGTAGACAGCCCAAAGCATCATGCTTATCTGTTGCTTTCTTTCAGGAGCCAAAGTGATGTTTCCTTCTGTTCCCAACTGATAACAAGTGCAAAATACAGGCAAAAATAACTTTGTGCCAACTGCATCCCTATTAGTAAAGAAAAAAACAAACTGCTGGGCTTATTGGCAAGAATGTGTACAAAATGTTCATAGATTTGCTGAGACTGAAATGTGTGGAGCCGGAACTAAGGGAAAGGGAAACAGTTCTGGGAAAGAAGAGGAGGAGAAAGGCCAAGAAAAGGCATAGGAAAAGATGAAGTATATTGAAAGAAATTATAAAAATTTTACAAGGAAAAGATATTCTGAGAGCAAGCAGCACTTGCTTCACTGAAATCGAATATGTGCACCCAGTTTGTTTCCCTACAGCAGTCGAAGTGTGGGAGAAAAATTTCATGATACTGCTGCACAAGTTTTCCAGTTTCAAGTTAGCAGTAACAAAATAGAAGAGATTTCTACCTCTTGGCTTCTGCTGATGATTCAGTGATTAGTAAATTGTCATAAGTCTCCTGTGCTTCTCTACCTTGGAGAATTCCAAGCTAGAGCTGTTTGAAAATTTACCATTAGAATAATTTCTGGTAAGAAAATATTTATTGGTTGCAAGATATGTGAGGATATATGAAACAAAAAGAATTTGTCATTGAAGCACTTTGCAGAGATTTAATTCTCTCTTTACCATTTCACTTATTTATCTTTGCAGCGTAAATGTATTTTAATAAGCCTAAATTATTTATACTTTTATTTTATGGTTAGATTTGCCTGTACTTTTGTTTTGGAAAGATTGTCAAATATTTCTGAAAAGAATTCTGGAAAGATTTCTGACAAAGTCTTCAGACACTTTTGGAATGCTCCCTATGAATAAATGTTTTGAAATTCAAAAATATTACAAGAGTTAGAAAAAAGTTCTAGTTCAGTTCTGTTCTAGATAGCTATTTGTGATCAAATCTGTAGGCATATTGAATAAAAATTGTCTGTTCCTAAGAGGATTTATGTATGAATAACTTCCACTAAAGCTCGGACTAAAGGAACAACTAGAAAATGGCTTCTGAGAGAGAGAGTTTACAATTGTGTCAGTCTGAAACTGCAAAGTGTTTATGGAATAATGTAGACTTTACATTTCTTCTTTACAAGTCCTGCGCCTGAGGCATTTGATTCTTTACATTAGAATTAGAATATAGTAAGAGGAGCTTTCAGCTGTTAGGAATTTACCTCATATTAATTTTATAGGAGTATTTCAATTGTTTATAATTAAAGAATTATTTGAACCACTAGAGTACAGGAAAAGTGAAATATTTTAGAGTTTAGAACATCATTTTATGATGAAATAAAGATGTGAAATTTGCCTACAATAAAATACCATTAATACATAAAATAACATTAGCATTTAACACAGTTTAGTTCTTGTATGTGTTTACACTGTAAATGAAAGGTCATAAATTTGTCAGATGTGCAGTGCCTCTCGAACCAATATTTGCATACAGCATCGAATAACTAACTATGTACTATTAATCCTTCTTCTTGTCTGACTTTATTATGACCAGTCATTGATTCATAAGCTCTATACCCTGTACAGCAAGGAATGTTGATGGATAAAGACCTGAAACTTTTATAATCCACCTGTGATTTTCTGAACGTTACTGTTCTATCCATAGTGCTACTAGAGCATGCAAGTTGTTTTAAAGCAGTGAGTTTGTGAAAAATTATGCCTGCTGTAGAAATGCATTCACTGTGTTGTAATAGAGCTGAGACCTGTAATATGATGATGATTTGCCCTCATGTTTGCTTGGTATCCTTTTAGATTGGTCACAAGACATAGTAAAATTACTGAATATTTAAATGTTATATAGATGTAGTGAATGACAGTGTTTTTCCACACATACATATCTTCATACACGTCTCTATCCCTTCACATAAACACATCCATGGAAACTGTAAATCTCAATATATATCATTAGAGAAGAGATTTTTAAGAAATGCAGTTTTGTTTTTAATTATTTTTATTAACTTTTTTTTTAAAAAAATCCTTGGAAAAATATGCAGATTTCGCAGCTCTCATTTCGTCCACCAAATTTATTGTTGTATTGGGAAGCAATCTGTTTGGTCAAGCACAGTTTGACAAATCTGTGTTGGCTTTTCGTAAAATAGAATAGAATAGAATAATCTCAGTCCAACCACATAACCAAAAGTTAGAGTATGTTACCAAGGGCATTATCCAAATGCCTCTTACACATCCCTGAGAAGAAGTCTGGTGTGCAAATAGGTGCTTCTGTTCTGCACAGGAGGAAATAACCAATGACTGTAACTTACTCTTTACACTGGTCTTATTGCAGGTTTTATTGTGAAGGGTTGGTCTTTCTGACCTTGTTGAGACTGCTTACATAGGTCCCTTCTCTATATCGTTGTCTGTTTTGTCCAATATATTCTGGGCCTCATACCTATTCTGTGAGGGTATCTTACAAAGGAAAAGGAGAGGTTTCCTTATGGCACAATGCCGTAGCCTCTTCCACCCCTTCTTTTTACTTTTAACACTGCCTTCTTCATGGCACAAAACAGATCCTAGACCTGCCTCCATAGTGGCCACGTTGAGCTGGCTTGCACACATCAGAGACAGCACAGTGAGGCTGCGCTCATCCATGTGCTTCTCAGGCTGTTCAATACTCCTCAGTCTGCACACATCCTCCTATACCTCAGCCACTTAGCAGAGCAGTTAATCTATCTGGTCACATCTCTCATAGGCTTGCTTGCAACTACTCTCCACCTCCATGAACATCCCTTCAAACAGTGAGAAGCCTGGTTGATCATATGCTTGCACAGGAGCTCTTTCTGTGTGACTGCATCAGTTCTACCAGGTGCTAGAAGCTCAGGAGAAGCAGAGGACACTGATTTTTGCTGGGTTGTCATCATGCTGCCATGTAGCCGCCTGCTGCCATGCATCTGCCTGCTGCCATGATGCCATTGCTTGTCCTTCTTATGCCTGCAAATAGCTTTCATGAGGACATACCCTATTATTTTTCCCAGGAACTAACGTGAAACTGCTTGCGCTACGGTCTTCTGAATCTTCTTTTTCACATCTTTTTGTAGATTGATGTAATATTTGTCACTCTTGTAGTCAGCTGGGACTTCTTTTTGTCTGCATTTCCTTTCAAAGGTGATAAAGAGTAATTTAGAATTGAGAGACTTTTTCATTAACCTTTTGTTTTAGAAATAATTTGTCATAATATTTAAGACTATAGTCCATAATAAGGTGAAGAAATTTGGAAAAAATAAATAGTACTCTAAGATGAAAATGAAACAAATTACAATATATGTATAAATAACTGCTCTAAGTAATAATCTATTTAGTATATATTTATTCAAATATATATTTATTCACATAATGTATGCATTTCTAAATGTTGATGCTGAAGAAATTAAAGTCAGAACATCTAGTAGTAGCAAATAGAAGTGTTTCAGGGCAAAGTAATTTAATGTAGGTGTCTAAATAGCAAAGATTCATTTTCATTTTGATCTTAGAGTACTATTTCTTTTTTCCAAATTCAGAGTTTGTAATAGTTTTTGCTTCCATCCTTTGTATAGGTATTCTGATGCACCCTTAATGTGAGGGGCAAAGAAAATGTAATGAATGTCTTATTGCACTTGGAAGACAGTGAAAAAAAAAAGCAACTGATACAGTATTTTGTTCCAGGTGGGAGTAAAAAGCAACTGCTTTGCTTGCCCTTTACAATCCAGTTGAGAATTTTACTGACAGAATGTCGGCACCAGCTGTGGAAGAACTGATCAGCCTCAACTCTGAGTAAGTGAAGTCTTACACATTTCGAGGTTCATTTCAAACTAAATTTGCAAAGTCTGTTTATTTCTAGCAACAAACATAAATTAAAAATACAGCTTCTAAGACATTGTAGAACACTTTGGTCTCCCTTGTGGAATTCTTAAACATATCTTTAACTTCATCTGTTCATGATGTTATTTTGCAAACTTGATGCCATCCCGTTCTGATTCCTCTTCCTTTCTAGACAATTAAAAGTACTCACTGAAAGTAATAGCAAATTATAATAAAACATAAATATAAAACATGAACATAGTGCATATATTCAGTGATCAAGAAAATATAGGTAAATAATAAATTATTGATGTAGAAGAAAACCTGTGAAAGAAAACTAAATTTGGGTGCTAATTAAACAACCCTTACTTCCTACTGCATTTGTCATGGGAGACAGTTGTGGATGATAGAAGCCTTGGTTGTCCCAAAATGGCCTCTGAGGGAGTCCTATGTTATCCTTCACGTGATGAGAGCAGTGGTGACAGCAATGCTACCATCACAAAGTACAGAAATTATGCACACACATGAAAAAAATTTAAAAAATCTTCAACTTCCTAATATAAATATGTGGAAGGCACCATTGTATTAAAGCACAGTGTTCATCCCTGTAGTCTTAGATTTTTAATATGCATGGGCTTCAGTATATCAGTTTTACTTAGAATTGTATTTTTCCCTGTTTTTTTCCTGCTAACTGTCAAAAAAATCTACTTTTCTGTAGCTAGTAGGAACTTGCAGACAAGATAAAGGCAGGATGGTTTTCAGTTTGTCAGATCTGCATTTTACTCAAAGACTGATTTCTCAGTGAAAATCAAATTTGCTCTTTCAACAGTTTCTAAAAAACCTGGAGCACTAGCCTGGAAAAAGAAGAAAAGGGTGAGAGAGAAAGGGAACAAGAAAGAAAGAGAGGTGGTGAGGGTGGAGTATCCATAAGAGATACTTATTTATCAGAGACAAACAAAAGATATGATACTGTAAAAAACTTTGAATGAAAACATCAGTGTCACTGCAAAATAAACAGTTAGTTCATAATGTTGCAATACCTGACAGTTTGAAAATTGCTCAAAATGTAGAGCTACTTGCATATTGACAGCATAATAGAGAAGCTACACCGCATAGTACTGCGTAATAGAGAAGCTAAATTCTCTTCAGTGGCTGTATTCATTTTGGATCACCAATTGCTTAACTATTATTAGAAACTTGAATGGATGTTTGTCTCCTTGGTCTACTGCTAGCCAAACCAAGCTAGGTTATTACTCATACAGTAGTTGTTACATAAAATAAAAGAACTAGAACTCATCACAGATTCTCAATTGTATTGGATAAAGTCCATTAATATTCGCTAAAAGTTCTTTTTAGATCATAGAGGAGAAAGAATCTTAAAGTAGCATATTCTTGGTTCACACTGAGAATAATGTTTACGCAAGCACATATTTTTCAAACTTTCAACTAGGAATTTTAATCTCTGTGAGTGTTTAATGTTTAATTTTTCTGGAACAATGAGAGCATTCCTTCAGTGATTTGTTGATTGATAGCTGCATTTAGGAAACCCTTCTATTAATTATAGGCAGATTATTTTCTCCAAATCTTGAAACCAAAAAACCTGGGGCCTAAAAGGAGTTTGGTAGCGGCTACTGAAAAAGATGAAGCCTAGCAAGGTTTTAAACTAAAAAAACCCTGAGACTTCAAGAAGTTCTTTGTCATTATCCAATTGCTGATAAGAGGAAGCAAATAATAAGCAAGATTCCATATGACTTATACATATCTTTGCCAGGTGCCAATTTTGAGTGGTATAAATAGGTGAAAAATCTCATCCTAGTTACCTTGTGACTATTGCCTAGGTATTCTGGAAGCTGCTATACCTGCTAAATATACACAGATTTTTCAATTGCAAACTTATTAGTTTTTGTTAACATTTTTCAGTTGCTTCTGAATGGAGCAGTTTTGGTGTTTTGTTTTGTTTGTTTGGGGTTTTTTTATTGTTGAAAATGAAATATTATAAACAATTAGTTTTCTTCTGTTTTCTAGCATAAATCAGCTATTAGCAGTATAAACAGTAAGAATATTTTTCATGGTTATTTACCTGATATTTCGATATTATGATGTCAGACAAAGAAATCAAAAGTTGATCTAATTCTCAAGCAGAAAAAAGTTTTACTTCATAGATGTGTGAATATTAAACAGACGCAATATGGTGATATATTGGATGTTACCTACTTCTTCAATCACATGCAAAGTGTTAGCACCAGTACTTCTGTACCAACACACTAAATTTTGCTCAATATTTCATCCATTCTGTTTACTACATGATGCTAGAATCCTGTGTCTCACAAACTCATCTCAAGATCAAAGAAGCTGTCTAAATTAGGCATGCAGGCTATTTCAGGTTTCTGCTCAACAGTGCTTAGCACTCTGCTGTGTTTTGTGCAATGTGCTAAGTTAAGCAAATATCCTAGTAACATTTGAAGAAGGAAGAATATTTTGTCAACAAATTTCATATTAAAAGGAGAGAGGCATAGGCAATTGACATGTTCAAAATATTCAGCTTACTGATATTTGTTTGACACTTTACAAATGGAGAAATGGCTTCTTATATAAGAGATATATTTATATGGGTATCAGATGACCAATATGTCTGACAGTGTGAAGAAATGATATGAAATTATCAGAGTTAATAAACATAGAGGTGGCAAAATCAAATCTCAACTTTGCAATGTGGAATTTGAGCAGCATACACATCCATTTGAGGCCTTAGTCACTTATAGCAGTTTTATTTTACTTCTTTCTTATTTCAAAGTGAAATTATTAGTTTAGTAATATCATAATAATCATGTGAGGCAGGTAAGTAGCATTTTATTATTATTATTATTTTAACAGCTGCTGTGTGAACTGTAGAATAGAGGTTGCTCTAAATCATAGACTCATTATTTAACAAGTTTGGGAAAATCCAGGTCCATGCAAATCATGCCTATCTAATGTGATAGCCTTGATGAGAAGATGGCAGACTTTAGAAAGTCCTTTGATGCAGCTTTCATAGGATCTTTGTTGCCAGGTTGATGAATAAGCAGTCCACAGTGTGTGCTGAAAACAACCTGGACTACTGGTCTTACTGATGTGATCCACAATACAGAGCCCAGCTAGTGACCAAAAGCTGTAGTTTCTCTCAGGGAGAAGTACCAAGACCAATAATGTTTAATATTCTTCATTCACAGCCTGAATAGTGGTGGAGATTTCACTCTCATCATGCTTGCAGAAGACACAAAATATCCATGGAGCAATCAATCTGGTAGAACTTAGGGCTTCTGCAGAGACAAATTATCTGACAGGAACCCCATGAAAATGAATGTGAAGTCCTGCAACTGGGAGGCAATAGCAGAGGCTAAGGCTGACCAGCTGGTGAACTTCTCTGCAATAATGGTTCTGAGAGCTCTGGGGTCACTAGGCTGACCCCGGGCAGCAGTAGACCCAGGCAGAGCACTCTCATATCCTGGACTGCATTAGCAAGGGTGCAGTCAAAATATATGAGAAAGTATGCACTGCTGTTCATACTGTCAGATTGCATCTGTCAGGCTTTGAGAACCCCAGTATGAGATAGACATTGATGTAATGGAGTTAGTATGAGATAGACATTGATGTAATGAAGTTAGTCCTGAACAGTGTGATCGGGGGATGGAGTATAGTTGCAAGCGAGAAGTGTGACCAGATAGGTTAACTGCTCTGCTTGGTGGCTGAACTGCAGGAGGAGGTGGGCAGACTGAGGAGTATTGAACAGTCTGAGAAGGAAACTGATGCGAGTAATCTCACTGTGCCATCTCTGATGCATGCAAGCCAACTCAACGTGGCCACTATGGAGGCAGATCCAGGATCTGTCTTGTGCCATAGCAATATGCTTTAATTGGATGTGCTTTGCACAGAGGGCTTGATGACACCCAGGAGTCGAAAGATTAAATAATTTTCTATTTTTTTGACAGTAAAAAATAAATAAAACAGCAAAAGAGCATATATTCAGAGGCTTGACCTTTACTCAAGAAGAGCACAGCCATGAGAATCTGTCAACTAGTCTTTAGTCCTTGTGCTTTTCAGAGATTCAGCCCAGAATCAAGTTTTGTTATTTAGCCTTTGAAAGAGAAATAGTGTTAATTTATTTAGAGGTATCTCTGTACTGTAATATATGGGCCTCCTTTTATTCTGGATGTCAGGATAACCTTCTTGAGGAAATGTATAAAAAGTAAGAGTAATTATCAAACATTTAGGCTTGAATAAAGACATATTGCATAGTGTTACAGATTGTAGCTATGGGCACCCCAGATTCATCTTTAAATTGGTATATATTCAGTACATACCTTTCAAATAGTTCCCAAATATTAACTGGCATGTGGTGAAAAATAGTCACAGAACAAATAAAGTGGGATGAGTAAATTGTTTAAGTCATTTATATTCTCCTGAACACAACAAATGCAGATGAACAGGGAGTGTGTTAAGTTACATATTTCACAAGTATTTCCAGAGAGCAAAGTGCAAGAGTTAAAGCAAAAGATTACTTCAGATTAAACATAAAATCTGTATATATTAATCAATTTAGCTCAACACAATCTGAATGACAACAAAACCCAGAAAAATGAAGGATATAGAATTAAGGATTATTTCTGTTCATGTTACAGCATTTTAAAGTAACGTGACACCAGAATACTTTTATCTTGGTCTATTTCTAGGCCATCTTTGTCCAGTGACAGAATAAAAGGCAAGGGAACTGTTGTACTCATTCTACATTTGGGAACGAGGTCACAGCAGAGTGAGCATTTGACACCAGGAGTCTGCTATTAACCCAGTAGTGGAACCTGTTTGTTTTGACCCTTGCTCAGGGCTTCAGCTTTCATCTCTAAGAAAGGTTAACACTTTGCATCTGGATAACATCAGAATCAGATTTTCACAAGCTTTTAGTACCCTCATTGGATGAGGTCTTCTATTCTGTCCTC